TTTTTTTTTTTTTTTTTATTAACTGTTGTTCAAAGTTTTATCAGTATATCGTTACGTGTAGGTGTTACAGTTATTGTAGATGACAATAAATTTTCTTTCTTTATCTTTTTTTTTCCTTCGAAATATTTCTGTTCAGTTTTTTCTTATTACTTCTTTTGCGTTGTTATTTTTGTTGCTGTTGTCGTTGCTGTTGCTGCAGCTATCAGAAAAGTAATAAAACTTGCAAATTGATTTTATCTTATCTTTTTTTTTTTTTCAGTAATTTTTAAAGTGGAGGAGTATGGATAAAACAGACTTGCAGAGAAGTGTTGAAAGCCTTCGCCATCAGTTAAGTATTCAAAGAATACAAGTATCACAGTCAGCTAATGAGTAAGTGTTTGATAATTTGTTCATTTTTTCAGCCTTTAAGTTGCATATTGTCTCTGATTTAAGTATCATTACAGCTTGTTAATCAGTCTGATGGCATAGTGTAGACTCTTAAGAGGATAACGTTGACAAATGATGCTTTGATAAATTCAATGCTGGTGAACTTCTAAGCGTGGCAGGGATGGGGAAGGATGGATAAAAAGAAAGTATTTAAAGTTATCATTAGGAAAGGAAATTCAATCAGTGGATTTTGAGTGTGTCCTGTTCTTCTGTTTTTTTTTCTTGTTTTTCAAAGGGTAGAGGGTGGAGACCTTCGTGAACAGTTATATTTAGACTGTTTTGCAACTTTTTTTGAATTGAATAAAGAAATAAAATTTTTTACGTTCAAATTTTTTTCTGTCGTTATCTTCGATAACGCCATATATCGACACTTTAAACTGTTCATACCTAAAAATGAATTAAAAAGGAGAGGTAAGGTCAACTAAATTAAACTCAGTTCTGTGTAGCTGTTTATTAGTTTCATCGCTTAAGCAGATTTTATAAACTTTTTTTAAACCGAAATGTGTAAAAGAAACTATTTGCCGTTGCATTTTAAACCCAAATACTCCATGATTTGTTTATTTTTAGTTGCATCCAACCCAATTTTTCCTTAGTATCTAATTTGGGATTAAGCCATTTTTTAAAGCTGCAAAAATTAGTTAAAGATCTGGTTGATTTCTATCGACACAAAATTTCCGTTATCGGACGGCTTTACTGCTGTTCAGTTGCTAGCGCAGTTTCTTATTCTTTTTTTTTTTTTTCTGCTTTTCTTGAAGTAATTAAAAACTTCAGTAGAGGCTCTATTTCTATTTTCAGCACTATTTGTTTTTCGTTCTTTATATTATTAAAGTTGAGCATTTTCTTTCGTCTTGGTTAGTAGAAAAAGAGAAAGTTTTTAAGATAGGTTCCTTTTGTCCTCCTGTCCTGCGCAGGTGGTCAGTTTCAGATGTTGTTGTTATGCTGCTTTTTTTTAAATACTTTGTACGGTACAAAAAGATATTGCATAATTTTTACTGCTTTTATTGCAGAATTAAACGATATATAGAAAGTCAACAGGAATCTGATCCGTTGGTAAATCCGGTTGATAAACGAGTAAATCCGTGGGCCGAAAAATCGAAGTGTACGTTATTGTAGAGGAAGACAATTCAATTACTGCCAAAAAAATAAAAATTAAAAAAAAAAAAACGAAAAAAAAAGCAAAAAAAGTAGTGTTTATCCAACATTTTCAAATAAATTTTAAAACTTTTATACATTATTACTATCAACGTCACGTCGTCTTCGTCTTCGTCTTCGTCGTCGTCGTCGTCGTCGTCGTCGCCGCCGTTGTCATTGTTACCAACATTATAATCAGCTTCATCTTTATCCTAATCATTGGCGTTATAAAAAACGGCAACAACAACTACAAAAAAAAAAAAAAACAACAATATTGTCGCCGTCTCAGAATCGCAGTGAGCAGTATCATTTGTTGACCACCAGCAACAAGCAGAATCATCAGCAGTATCAGCAAACAACAAAAGTAAGGCTACAATTTAACCGAACGGCAACAACAGCAGCAGCAATCCAGAAAAACAGCTATGGCTTAAATTTAATAATAATAATAAGAAGAAGACAACAAAAGTAAAGTTGTAACAAAAATGTTTTTGGGGGAGGAAAAACGAAAAACGGAAAAAAAAAAAAAAAAAGAGAAAGACAGAAATAAGTTTTGCTTTTGACAATACATTTGGTGGGGTAAGAAGTGCTTTTCTTCATTTTTCACTGTATCTGAGATAGACGGGGAGACGTTGGAAGGGTAGCGAAATTAGTA